CTGTTGTTTTTATATACTGTGTCTATACCAAACTTTCTTTCTTCTTCTTTACTGTTTCTTTTCATCCCTATCTTCATTTAATAGAAAAAAATAGAAAGAGGGCCAAGCATGGTGGCTGACACCTGTAATCCCAGCACTTTGGGAGGCCAAGGTGGGTGGATCACCTGAGGTTGGGAGTTTGAGACCAGCCTGACCAACATGGAGAAACCCTGGTCTCTACTAAAAATACAAAAAATTAGCTGGGGGTGGTGGTACATGCCTGTAATCCCATCTACTCGGGAGGCTGAGGCAAGAGAATCGCTTAAACCTGGGAGGTGGAGGTTGCGGTGAGCCGAGATCACACCATTGCACTCCAGCCTGGGCAACAAGAGCAAAACTCCATCTCAAAAAAAAAAAAAAAAAAAAAATCTACTCAGTGGTCTTCAAGAACATAATAGGTTGCTATTAACTGCAGTCACCGTGTTGAACAACACATCTCTGATTTATTTCTTCCATCTAACTGTAATTTTGTATCCTTTGACCAACTCTCCCTAATTTCTCCCTGCTCTCCCCGGCCTCAGGTGACCCCTAGACTATTCACACAAAAGTGAGATCATGCATTGTTTTTCTGTGCCTGGCTTACTCCCCTTAGCATAATGCCACCCAGGTTCACCCATGTTGTCACAAATTACAGGACTTCCTTTTTTAACAAAAAAGGCTGGATAGTATTCCATTGTGTATGTGTATTGCATTCTGTTTATCCATTCATCTATTGATGGACAGGTTGATTCCATATCCTGGCTACTGTGAATAATGCTGCAGTGAATATGGAAGTACAGTTATCTCTTTTATACACTGATTTCATTTCCTTTGGCTATATATCTAATAGTGGGATTGCTGGATCATATGGTAGTTCTATTTTTAATCTTTTGAGGAACTTCCATGCTGCTTTCCATAATGGCTATACTTACATCCCACCAGCAGTGTACAAGGGTTCTCTTTTCTCTACCAACACTGTTAAATCCTCACTAACATTTACCTTTCAACCAACTTTAGAATAGTTAATTGATGCGAATTGGGGGGAAATAGGTGGGAAGTAGAAATTTGACTATATATTTGTAACATTTTTTTGTTTTTAAAAGATATTAAATGATGCTTTTGTCAGCTGCATTTATACTAAAACTGGGATGATAAGAAAAAGATGAATATAGCCCGGAGAAAGGATGACACAAATTTGAAATTACTGAAAAAATTAAAGCCATTAGGAGTAGATTCTCTGACCATGTGTAATTTAGCTAAAAATTAAGAACAAAGAAAGTAACTACAAAATCCTCAACTACCTGGAAATCAAACATTTTTCTTTCTTTCTTTCTTTCTTTTTTGTTGTCCAGGCTGGAGTGCAATGATGCGATCTTGGTGCTGGAGTGCAATGATGCGATCTTGGTGCAATCTCAGCTTGCCACAATCTTGTCTCACAGATTCAAGTGATTCACCTGCCTCAGCCTCCTGAGTAGCTGGGATTACAGGCATGCGCCACCACGCCCAGATAATTTTGTATTTTTAATAGAGACAGGGTTTCTCCATGTTGGTCAGGCTGGTCTCGAACTCCCAACCTCAGGTGATCCGCCCACCTCGGCCTCCCAAAGTGCTGGGATTACAGGTGTGAGGCATTGCACCTGACAATTTTTGTATTTTTAGTAGAGAAAGGGTTTCACCATGTTGGCCAGGCTGGTCTCAAACTCCTGACCCCAGGTGAGCCACTCGCCTTGGTCTCCCAAAGTGCTGGGATTACAGGCGTGAGCCACCGCCTGGACAGTGTATTTCTTAATAATCTAAGGGTCAAAGAAGAAATCAAAATGGAAATTAGAAAATGTTTTAACCGCCGGGCGCAGTGGCTCACGCCTGTAATCCCAGCACTTTGAGAGGCTGAGGCGGGCGGATCATGA